AGCACAATAAAGAGAACATAGAATGAAGAGCATTTGACTAGGTGTGTGAAATTATTATAGAAATCTTCTTTTTCCCTCGCTCCTGGAAGCGTTTCTCTTAAGAAACCCTGGGTGGGGGCTGAGGGCAAGTCTCTTGACCTCTACAGGCTGGGGATGTAGCTCGCCTAGCATTCATGAAGCCCTGAGTTTGATCTTAATTATTACGTTATCCAGTTGGCACACACTTGTGATCTAAGCATCTGGGTGGTAGAGAATTGTGAGTTTAAGGTAATCCTCAGGAACATAGCAAATTTGAGGCAAGTCTGGGTTACATGAGATCACCCCTCAAAAAACAAACCAAGGATCTGGCAGTGTAGCCTAGGTTGGCCTTGAGTTTTCTATATAGGCTGGTCTCAAACTTTTAATCCTCCAGTCTCTTCTCTCCAAATGCTGGGTTTACATGTATGTACCATCACATCTGGGTAATTTTAAAATCATAGTATAAGTTTTATACATTAAAGTAAGCTCAATGCATTTAAAAACACATAGGTGGATACCCATATAAATAAGAACACACTGCTATCAGCCTGCTCAACCTACAGGTCATTCCCTGCTCTCTGGCAGGTTCTTGCTCACTTCTACCCTAGTTGATCTACAATTCACTATATGGACCAGGTTGGCCTCAAACTTGCATGCATCCTCTTGCCTCTGCTTTCCTGAGTGGAAGGATTGCAGGTGTCTGCCATGAAATCCAGCTTGTATATTAATTTTGCCTCTTTTTAGTTTTCAATACTGAGGGCCAAGCCCAGGCCTTATATACACCTGGAGCCAGCACATGCTCCACCACAGAGCTACAGTTTTACTCTCTTCTTTTTGAAACAGGGTCCCAGCTTGCTAAGTTGCCCTGGTTGGCCTTGAACTACCCCAGGTAAGCCTTGGTCTTCCTATCTCCAGGGTAACTGAGATGACAGGCCTGAGCTATCAGGCCTGATTTTTTTTCTTTTCTTTTCTTTCTTTTTTTTTGTTTTGAGACAGGGTTTTTCTGTGTATCTTTGGAGTCTGTCCTGGAACTCACTCTGTAGACCAGACTGGCCTCAAACTCACACAGATCTGCCTACCGCTGCCTCCTAAGTGCTGGGATTAAAGGTGTGTACCACCACTGCCCGGCACTTTTTACTATTCTTAAAAAGATATTTATTTTTGTATGTGTATAATATATGTGTGTGGGCACATATGGAACATTACACATGTGGAGTTTCATAGAACAATTTTAGAGAGTCTGTTCTCTCCACCCAATTTTTAAAAAAATTTATTTATTTTTATTTTGTATACATTGGTGGTTTGCCTGAATGTATTTCTGTGTGAGGGGGTTGGATCCTGGAGTTACACACAGGTATGAGCTGCCATGTGGGTGCTGGGAATTGAACCTGGGTCCTCTGGAAGAGCAGTCAGTGCTCTTATCCACTGAGCCATCTCTCCAGCCCTCTCTCTACCCATTTTTATGTAGGTTACAGAGATAGAACTCAAGTTGTTAGGCCTGGCAGCAAGTGCTATACCTACTGAACCATATCTCCAGTCCCAGTTTTCCCTATTCTTGAACATTAGATAAACAGAAATGATCAGATGCTGGTTTGTACCTGCCTTCTGAAGTCCCACTGTGGTCCAAGTCCACACTGTGGTACAAGCCTTTTAGTAGAGGTCATGGATAGACAGAATCAGTGTTTCTCTTGTATAGAACTGCTGTTGAGATGCTAAGCTCAGTAGACACCACCAAACCCTCTTCCAAGAACCTGCGTGTAAATCCCCTGTGACTCATGTCAGCATCCTGTCACAGGCTTGCCTAGTGAAAAGGATCAAAGATTTGTTGAAAGAAAAAGTGAGTAAAGAGGCTAAGAATGGAAAGAAATCATACTTGTGCCCTACCTAAATTCCATTGGTGGCTCTTCCCAGTCTCTCCCTTGGCTAGTATAATCCTGCATGCTTGGGTCCTGGTAACTCCAACCTAGGCCATATGTGTCCCACCTGCTTCCCTCTCTCCATCCTATTCCCAAGCTGTTCCTCTAAGGTCTTTCTTTCTGTTCATTTTCTTGTGTGTGTGTGTGTGTGTGTGTGTGTGTCTGTGAGGGGAGGTGCATGTGCACATGTCTCCAAGACTCAGTTGCTGTCCATCTTATTTATTTATTTATTTATTTATTTATTTATTCATTCATTCATTCATTCATTCATTTAGAGTCTGTCTTACTATGTAGCCCTGGCTGGCCCAGAACTTACAGAGATCTGCCTGCTCTTTGCCTTCTGAGTCCTGGGGTGAAGGGTGTGTGCCACCCTGCCCAAACTTCCACCTTATTTTTCAAATTAAGTTAAATTTATTTTGTGTGTATTTGTGAGAGAAGGTGATGGTGTGACATGGAGCATTTGTGGCAGTCAGAGAAGATCCTCAGGAGTCAGTTCTCTTCTGCTACCTTGTGGGGCATTGAACTCAGGTTGTCAGGTCTGCATGCCAATGCCTTTGCTGGATGAGCCATCTTACTGGCTTTCTCCACTTTATTTTTGATACAGCATTCTCACTGGACTTCACAACTAAGTTGGCTGGCTGGGTGGTAAGCTCTAGGGATCTGCCTGTCTCCATCTTTGCAGAATTAGGGTTGCAGATGTGCCCTGGTGTGTACACCATGTGGGTTTTTTTTTTTTAACACATGGGTGCTTTTGACATGGATGCAGGAGATCAGAACCCAGGTTCTCATGCTTGTGCATCAGTACTTACAAGCTAAAACTCAAGATCTTCCTTCCTCAGCCTCCCAAATAATGAGATCATGGGCACACAAAACCAGTCTTGGCTGCTTCATGGTTTTCTTATAGGCTTTCTTCAGCTCAGGACACAGTCCACGCTGGAATCTCAACTCTGTTTGTGTTTAGCTCAAAAGCTGTTTTCCAGAAAGTCTTTTTGACTTTAGACCCTCTTTATGCCCCTTCCTTCCTGGATTTTGCAACAGTTGTAAACACACTTTCTATTATGAAATTATGTGGGTAATATCTGCTGCCTTACCATTAAAACTTGACAATGCAGCTCCACTCTAAGGTCTATCAGATTTGAACATGCCCTAGCATGATCCCTAGTATACAGCAGATGCTCAGTAAATATGGGTAACAGTGAATTGAGCATTGCCACCTGAAAGTAATTGTCCTTTAAAAACTCACTCATAGAGATGGCTCTACAGGCAAAGGCACTTACTGCCAAGCCTGATGATCTGAGTTAGATCCTTTGAGCCCTGGGGATTCCAAGAGAAACAACTCTCGTAGGCTGTTCTCTGACCGCCACAAGTAGATATTTACATGCATACCCACACACATACACACATAGAAATAATTAAGTAATGTTACTATAACAATAACAAACAAATGCTCACTTGTATTGAGCAGGACCTGGACCATCAAAGAATCACAGAAAAATCCTGTGTCCTTCCTTCTTCCCTCATTAAGAACTTTGTGTATGTGGGGGGTCTCATGCTCTGTTCTTTGTTTTATTTGCTGTAGCTGTTTGTGCACATGCTAATGGGGACTGTGCATCAGGTGGACACCTAAGAAGAGGAGGAGAGAGGGGAGGCATTGCTGGAGTCCAGCTCTTCAGTTTCTATATCTTAAGCAGTATTGAGGTAGTATCATACAGTGGTGAGTATTATTAATTTATTCTCTCCCCCGACTTCCAGTAGGGCTGCCTTGTTACAAAGCTGGGTTCAGTCATTGACCATGTAAATGATCTTTGACAAGTTGCTTCTGCTTTCTGTTTTGGTCTCTAATCTGAAAAAGAGGAAGAATAATACTATATACTTTATGGGTTAATGCATGAGTTTTAGGTTAATGTGTGTATATTGTTAAGCATGAAGCCTTGAGTTGCTCTGCAACCTTGTTAAGTAGTCTTAGGTGTCTAGACTTCAGTGTCCTTGCTTCTGAGATGAAGATCAATAACTGGGTTGTTGCCAGGCCTACTTCATGGGGTAGGTGTAGGCTCTGCTTCCATTACCTAACACATTCTCTGGCTTCTGGTCGATCCTCATAAATTATGCTTATCCTCCTCATTTACCTTTATTATTATTTTTTAATTAAAATATTTTCGAGGGGCTGGAGTGGCATAGCTCAGTTGGTAGAGTGCTTGCCTAGCATGGATGAAGCCCTGGGTTCTATTCTCAGCACCACATTAACCCAGTTGGCTAGGTTATCAAGAAGCTGAGGCATGGCCCAGCGTTGGTGGTGTATGCCTTTAATCACAGCACTTGAGAGGCAGAGGCAGGTGGATCGCTGAGTTCAAGGCCAGCCTAGTTTACAAATCGAGTTCCAGGGCAGCCAGGGGCTACACAGAGAAACCCTGTCTCAAAAAAAGTGTGTGTGTGTGTGTGTGGGGGGGGGGGGAGGCATGAGGATCAGAAGTTCAAGGTCATCTTTACCTGCATAGTGCATTAGAGGCCAAACTTAGTTATATGAGATCCTGTCCCCAAATCCCTACCAAGCAACAAGGAAAGGACTTATTTCCTGGCGGCACTCAGAGCGGAGAAATTCCCAGGGTGCTTTGCAGACCATGGGAGGAGGGGTGGCAACAGGTGTTTAGGATAGAGATCTCAGTGTTTAGGATGGAATCATAAGGCTCCTGATTCGAACGAACTCCACTTCTGCTCATTGAGTGGCCCTGAGCGAGTTTCCTCACCTCTCTTAGTCTCAGTTTCCCTATTCCCTTTCCTTTCTTGGGAGCGCACATCATTACCCCGCCAGCTGCAAGCCAGTTGACTGTCGAGGAAATAGCTCCAAATCCCGCAGCAGGGAAAGACTGTACAGTTAGGACCGCCTAGGACGAAGCCAGGGCGTGGAGGGCCCATTGCCGGGTTCCTCACGGCCCTGTCGGCGTTAGGAACCGGCAGGGGGTGGGAGCTGCAGACGCGGCCTACAGGCCCAGCCCGGGACACCGAGTGGCCTCGCTTGCTCCCACGCGCGGAGCGGGGCGGGGCGGCGCGGGGCGGGGCGGGGCTGCATCCCGGTGACGCGAGCCAACCGCGCGACGCTGCGGCTCCTCGCTCAGCCGGCCGCCCGCATGGCGCTGCGCAGCTTCTGCAGCGCTGATGGCTCCGACCCGCTTTGGGTAGGTGGTGGGCCGCGGGTGCGGCGAGGGGTGGTCGGGAAGGTTCCGGGGACGCGGGGGGCGCGGGGGACTCTGGGACGCGCGGGCCCAGCTGCTCCCTAGCCCAAGCCCCGCTCTGCAGACGTGGGGACCCGCCACCCGGGCCCGGGAGCAGCCCCCGCGGCCAGACTCTGGGGACCCGGTTCCGGGAGAGCTGGGCGTGTGCGGGGAGGGGCCTCTGTGCTTTGGGTTTCTGCCCTGTGAGGGGACGCTTGATCTGGAGGCAGCAAAGTGGGGGTTTTCCGTCCTTTGTGGGGATAGAATCCCCATTCTCAGCACACACCTCATCTCTGAACACCCGGCGAGCTCTAGAAAGGGACTTCCCACCCCTTGTTTGGGGGATCCCCCAACGTTTTGTTTTACCTCCCTATTCTCTGGTATCATGTTTTTCTCATCTTTTCCTTCCTTTCTGCCTAAATGCTACCAGGAAAGTTTAAGGAAACAGGAAGGATAAGCCAAGAGAAGGGTAGGAGTCCCTTCTACCCCACTTTGCGGGTTTGGGGTACAGTGGAAGATGCCTGGGACCCTGGTAGAGTGCCTTCCACCTTGTGAGGCTCTGGGGATATTCCGGGGACTTCAGGTCCTCTCCAGGTAGCTTTCTTCTGAAATGATCCTAGGCTGGGTTCCCTGGCTGACTGCTCTAATCCCCAGTGCTTCTGGATTTCATGTCCCCGTAATGCGATTTGCCCATTGTTCCAGAACACTCCTGTATCATGCTGTCCTGATTATTTAGTGAATGCAATAGGGCAGCCTGGACACAATGACTTTTCTTTCTGTTTGAGAAACAGGAAAAACACCCGTTTCTTAGTCACTGATTAGCGCCCATAAGTATTTTCTTGTTCTGTTTTGGGGTACCTCCCTGATAGGAGTGGTGACCTACGAAGGCCCACTGGCAGACTTTAGTGTTTTGGGTGAGGAAGGGTGCCATTTTTGGTCGAGAAACTTACCACACTTAAATATGACTCCCATTTTAAAGCCACAAAGCTGGAGGTTTCTCCAGGGCTGAAAACAATGCTAGTGATTAGCATTCAGGCGTCTGCAAGAGATTGGTGCCTGTTTGCCACAGAGGAACACCTGTGTGTTTTTTACCCTTGTGCCGTGTGTGGAGAGAACAGAATTATTCTGCAAGGACCCGCTGGAATCTGGCTCAGTGTTACTTGGATGCTGGTGTATTTCCTGGTTTATTTTCTTCTCTTGTGGTGGGCGAAAGTGGGTTGACTAGACATTAGATTTTCTACCAATGTGTATATTTTGCATATACATACATATACATACACACATACTTTATGTATAATATATATTATATATAATGTATGTATGAAGGCATGCATACCATGTCACACATGTGTTAGTCAGAAACCTGAGGCGGGGGTGGTTCTCTCCTTCCACCATGTGGGGTCTGAAGATTGAACTCAGGTCTTTAGGCAGCAAGCATCTTGCTAGCCCATACTAGGATGTATTTTATTGCTGGGCAGTGATGACTAAAACGTGTTTGGGGTGTTCTCTATCTTCTAATCAGATCAGAAGGCTACCCAAGAAACCCAGTTTTATGTTCTCTCTTTCTAGGGACTTTTTGCCACAGAAAATTAAGATAGATAAACTGTGCTTCACCTTAGGCAGGTTCCCATCCTCCCTCACTTTTCATCTTGGAGACTTCCTATGCCCCTCCTCCCACTGGTCTAGGCTTGCTGGACGCCCTGTTTCTGGAGTCCTGGAACCAGAATGAGTGAGAGGGCAGTTGGCAAGCAAGAACTTCCCTGTAGCTAGAGAATCCAAACACAATACAGAGTGAGTTGGTTAGCCTGGTAGAGGCACATACCTGCAATTGCAGCACTTGGGAAGCTGAGGCAGAGGGATTAAGAGTTTCAGGGCAGCTTGGTTTAGAGTGAGACCGTTCCTCAAAGGACAGCAAACTGAAGCAGGTGGCTTGGGTCTTCCAAAGCTAAGTGTTGCAGTCAGCACAGACTTACCTCATGATAGGCAGGCACCCACACTCTCTGAGATTGAACCTAGGGCCTCACACAAACTATCATTGTGTTAAACACTGGTTCTGCAGCTAAGATGGGTTACTTTTTTTCTGTGTACCTCAGTTTCCCCATGTGTAATAATGGAGTACATAGCAAATGGCAACTGCCTCTGTGGCTGAGACCAGAGTCGTGTGTGTGTGTGTGTGTGTGTGTGTGTGTGTGTGTGTGTGTGTGTGTGTGTCTTTGTGTGTGTCTTTCCTGGAGCTTGCTGGACTCCTTTCACTCTTGGAGGTGCTTCACCTTGAGAGCATGGTGGTAGGTGACAGAGCCTCTTCTGTTTGTTAACTTGACTTGGAGGATGTTCACAGAACACCTGGGGAGGGGGGGCTCAGGGACATGCCTATGTTACTGTATCCTGAGAGGAGCTGGGACACCTTTGCTGCTCTGTTCAGGGAAGGTGGTCCTTTCTCTTGGTGGCCAAAACCTGTGGTGTCCTTGATTCTTGTTCCCTCCTTCTGTCTATCTGCCTGTTCTTGCAGAATGTATCCAAACTTGTCAGGGCTGCCTCCTGGGGCCTGAGGTGCCATCTACTGACTTGTTACTGCTTTTGAACACTGTTTTTTTTTTTTTTTTTTTTTTTTGGTTTTTCGAGACAGGGTTTCTCAGTGTAGCTTTGCGCCTTTTCCTGGAACTCACTTGGTAGCCCAGGCTGGCCTCGAACTCACAGAGATCCGCCTGGCTCTGCCTCCCGAGTGCTGGGATTAAAGGCGTGCGCCACCACCGCCCGGCTCACTGTTTGTTTTTGTAGGGCTGGGGACTGAACCTAGGGTCTTAATACACTGAGCTGCTGGCACCCCCAGTCCTCTTTTGCTTTTTATTTTGAGACAAGAATCTCACTAAACTACCCAGGCTGTCCTTAAACTCTGTAGCCCACGTGGGTACTGAACTTGTGATCCTCCTGCCTGAACTTCCCCAGTAACTGGAATAACAGTCCTGTACCACCACACCCAGCTTCCTGTCACTCTTTCTCTGCCCTCTCCTTGATCCCTGCAGTCTAGTATCAGTCCAGCAGCCAGAGAACATGGTTTTGATTTTTATTCTTTTGTGATGCTGGGGATAGAATCAGGGCCTGGCAACTGCTAGGTACACTCTTCTCTGCTGAACTCCAATTCCAGCCCAGAGGAATCCTATTAAGACACACCAGACCCAGCACTCAGAAGGCAGAGGCAGGCAGATCTCTCTGAGTTTGAGGCCAGCCTGGTCTACAAAGCAAGTTCCAGGAAAGCCAGGACGGACTGTTACACAAAGAAACCCTGTCTTGGAAAAAAATAAAATAAAACAAAACAAACAAAAAACCCACCATAGTGAGAAAGAAGGGGGGGGGGGCAGACCAAACCCTGCCTTTCCTCTGCTCAGCACCCTTCAATGGCTTCCTGGGGGGTGGGGGGAGGAGACAGACAGACACAGACCAGATCCTACCTTTCCTCTGCTCAGCACCCTTCAGTGGCTCCCCAGTCATTGTGTTCAACCAGCTCTGGAGCATCTGGCCCTGCTCGCTCTCTCTGCTGATCTGCTTTCTTGGTTACTCTCTTCTCTCCAGGCACAGGGATTCCTCAAGCATCTTTTCCCTGACCCCTGCCACTTCTCGTACATCCAGTTTTCTGCTCCCACCTCATAGCTCTTGTTCTCATACATCTAAGAGTTTATTTACTTCTTTGCTGTGTATGTGACTCCAGTCGTAGTATCTAAGACAGCATCTGGTGCTCAGGAATTACTTGTTGAATGAATAAATGACCTAAAACCCTAGAATAGCTTTCAAGTTTCCTTGAAGTCTCTCTCTGAGACATTCAGGATAAAATGTTATTCTGTGTTTTGTATTTTGTCTTGCAATAGTCCAGTGAGGTCATGTTCATCTGTTTTCCCCTGGGCCCGGTGCCTTGCATCCAGTAGGCTCATCCATTTGAACAAATAAATAAAACTAAATAAAATGTATTTATTTATTTATAGACAGAATCTCCTATATAATGATGATCTGGAACTTGATGTGTAGACCAAGCTAGCTTCAAACTCATAGGCCACCTGCCTCTACCTCCTAAGTATTGGGATTGAAGGTATATGCTACCATGTCTGACTTTTTGTTGTTTTATTTTTGAGACAGAATCTTGCTTTGTAGCTCAGGCTAGCCTGAAACTTACTATCCTCTTGCCTCAGCCTCTTAAGTGCTGGGGTTATAGGCTGGTGCCAGTAGACCTGGTTTCAGAGTTTGAGTGTGTATGACTGAGACACATGTTCTGAATTGGGTTTTAGATGTAGCCTACCTCTAGACTGGCTTGACTTTGTTTATTTACTTAATCTTTAATATTTTATTTTTTATTACACTTATATAACCAAGGCTGGCCTCAAACTTGCAATGTAGCTGAGGATGCCCCCGAACTCCTGATTCTCTTGCCTGAGCCTCCCAAGTGCTGGGACTACAGGCATGTACCATAACCATAATTATGTGAACGCTGTCATTCCTGATATTTAATTACTGGAGGATTTTGCATAAATCCTGGCTTTCTGGCTTTTCTTAAAAAATATTGGACAGCACTGGGCCTCACTGTAGCTGCTCCTGGAAAACAGGCCTGTAGAACCCATTCCTCCTTACAGCTGCTCTCTTGGAAGGCCAAGTGTCCATTGTCTCTGCTTGTACTTTCTCACATCTGGTTGGCACTCTTTCTGGGTAGAGTCCATGTGGCATCTGTCTGTTAGTATTTGAATTGAGATCTATTGCTTCATAGCCCAACCTTAAGGTGGCTGAACTGGGGCTTACCTGACTTAGTAGGTTATTAAGTTTTGTTTGTTTGGGACAAGGTCTGGCAGGGGCAAAGGTTGACTTGGATCTTACTGAGTAGTCTAGGCTTGCTTTAAACTCTTGATCATCTTGCCTCAGCCTCCCAAGTGCTGGGATTAGATGTGTGCCACCAAGCCTGGCCTTTAGATTTTTAAAAAAAG